TCCAATACCCACTCAATCAAAACCCCAAAACCCCAAAACCCCAAAACCCCAAAACCCCAAAACCCCAACTAAACCCTTAAAATTTAAACCCAATATGTCAAAGTACCTTTAGGGAATTAATGAGTGTGATTGATGCTATTATAGGGGAAGGGAAATAGCTACTGTGCAAGAAGAACAGGAAGTTGTTCGAGATTGTAAATATGAAACGTTTGATCTCCTGAACATAGAATCTAACAATAAAGCAGCATGCATTACATTTTGAGAGGAATTTAGCAGAGGTCGGAAATCTTCTGTGCCTATATGCTTAAAATAAAGCCAAGATCAAATCAAGATCAGAGCTGAATAGTCTCTCGATTCGATTGTATATATCTCAAGCCAAGAAGCGTGTGAAAATGGCTAATCTTATCAATAGTTTCTATGGAATTTCATTAGGCTATTTTAAGATTATATGATGTCTTCCTACACCCCCTATCAATATCGTTAATTTTAGATGATTTGATCGGGCATTGTATAAACTTCTCCCAAATATAACACGAGATTTGCACATTATGAATTTCAAAATTACCCAAAATCAGATGATCAGAATCTTTTGGTAAAACATATCCCGTACTTTCATTAAGGAGATAATTTTTACTCTTTAGATATGTTGAACACCTCGAACTACTCACTCTGAGTTCCTGCCATCTTGAGCCGATCACTCATAAATTCCCACTAAAGAAAGAGCAAAAGATTGGGCAATTAAGTCTAATGAAAAGCATGAGCTTCACACGCGAAATTCTTAGTATCTTTGGGCCTGAACTAACATCAATATTACATATAATCTCAGAGTCAAGCCTATCAGAGTCTATTAATATGATACAAATAAGCAAATGCTCGGAGGTTCTCGAATCAGACACAAGTCAGGATCCAGATGGAGTCATACTTAAGACATATGAATCCCAACTTCAAGAACAGTTTAATCTGCCTTCTATAAGACTGACTTAGGAGAAGGAACTGAGATCATTTTGGAAACCTGATAAATAAAATGAGTTCTTTCAATTCAAATAGTTTAAACAGGGGTTTTGGGGTTTTGGGGTTTTGGGG